GAAGGTAAATTTGATTAACTTATTAAAGGTGAGTAATCGCTAACGAAGCGGCGCCGGCGCTGCTTGGCACAGATGGTGCAGCGGTAAATACTCAGAGCGTACGTACAGCTGATTCAAACCAGAAAGACCGTTGGTGGACGTGGTAAATATATTCATATCGCACGGCTGATTCGAACCAGAAAGACCGTTGGATGGAAAGATAAGTAAACACTATTTAGTATCCATTTAGAAACAAGCATATATCAATTCAATTAGAAATCTACGAATAACTGAAACAATCACACATATGTAAAACCCAATCCGTCTGTCCTGGCGCCCTTGGTTCAGAAGACAGTGATAGTGAAAATGATCAACCACAGAATCATCAAATTAGGGATGAAAGTCGCAGGGTAAGTTAAATGACCTTTTTTTTTTCTGTCCGATCAACAAAATTGATATCATAAGATTTTTACTAGTTATCAATATTTTTTAAAATATATTTGAATTAGATTTATTAAGGTGGCTCCCCTGAGTAATCCTTGATTCCCACCGTCTCTCTTTGATCGCAAAATGCGCTAATTTCAACTAAATGTCCACAGCAAGTATATACATAGATATTCAAATTTCTTTTAACACTTATTTTATTATGATCGATCATGTAAAAGGTCGCGTTTAACGAGTCATAAAATCCAGATCACGTTCTTTGCTCTGGATGATTTTGATAGGTTTCTATGAAGGCGTTTTTGCGACTCAAAAATTTCTCAGGCGAGGCACCTTAAGACAGACGTATAAAAAAAAATCGGTGTCTTTTTCACGCTCTATATTGACATCATCACCTGTTACAGCAACTTCTGCCCCTGTCTCCAACAGTCTTGCACTTTCTTACAGTCCAGCATTTTCTTCAGTACTGTCATCTTGTATTGGCCAAACGCAATCCATCATTTTCTCTAAAGGTCGTTCTGACCAAAATGACACATAACGGAGCAAAGGTGGAGTTTATCGAAGAAGACCAAACATTCGTCACCTTGACTGAAGCAACCGCAAATGTGCCACACATAACAGCAATCGTGAAAGATGCTTTTAACAAGCCAGATATAATCTTGGTAACTTCAAACGGGCTAGCTGTCAAAGATTCATCTGGAACCCAAGGTAAGAGCGCAGGAAAACGTTTATCGTATTTCAATCTACTTTTACTCCTAATACAGCTTTGATGCATATGGAAAAACGATATTATACTTGCGTTTACAAATATTGAATTGCGTGTCTTCGTGTTCTTTGTAATTGTTTTGCTAAGCCAAAATTTTTAATCTGTTTTTTAAAGGATTAATGTTTTGGAAAGTTCCAAGCCGAAAACTTTATGCCATACGAAAAGTGGAAGCAAAAGGCACGACTGTGAGACCCAAGAGAAAACATAAAGAATGTGAATATTAAAATGAAGATGACCTAGATTTCCTAAAGAGCCAGATTGTTGAGCTTGGAAGATTTGTGCAGGGAATGTCTGTTAAACGTGATGAAATGCACCAGTTGACCGTGTCAAAAGGTGAGGGCATCAAAGCAGCAATTGATCAGTTCCTAAAGTGCAAGATATGTCTGTCGTCACCAGCACAAGCACCGTGTGTGTCATCATGCTGTGAAATAGTAATTGGATGTGCAACTTGCTTAGATAGGTGGCTGGAAGAGGATGAAGAGAGAGGATGCCCTTGCTGCAGAGCAGCAAGGTTTGACTTCAAACCAGTCAAACTCAGGGGTGTGGACACTATCGTACAAGCTATTTATTAAGAAATTCTTTTTTATTGAGGAACACAATGATAAGTTAACATAACCACTAAAAAGTATTTGTTGTTCATATCACATTAGCCAATAGGTGATTTAGCCATAATAGTTGCCACTTGAGTTTTGGTGGACTTTACTGTTTTGCTAAGAAAAACGAAATTGAAAGATTAAGAAAAACAAGTGTTAGTCAACATCAACGAGTGCCAAGTCAGAAGACAAAGAATGACATCTTAGCAATTTATATTATTAGCCATTTAAAGGTGGAAAATAGTTGGCGTCAGTTGAGTTTTGGTGAACTTCCCGTTTTCATGAAAAGTGAAAAGACCAAGAAAAAAGGTCAAGTTACATAATATTGTGTTTTGTTATGTTAAAAGACCACGATAAAAACTTGATTGCAATATAAGTCATTTGATTGACGTGTAACACACCGTGGGTAGAACTCAAATAAATATTAAGACTTTCAGTAAAGATAATGACTAGGATAGTTATATCCAATTCTCTAGTTCACGCTTATGCCTGTGCAGCAAGCGATTGTGATAAAGTAATATAATAAATTAAAGCTCGTTGAAATAAAGAAGGATTTCCATTTACTAGTTGATTAAATATTGCTTCATATGAAGCAATATTTTGGAGAAGCAGTTGCTCTCTCTGCATCGACAGCTCCTGATTTCCTTGTAAAGGATCCAGACCAAAACTGCCAAATCTTGTGAGATTTCCTCCATTACCTTCATAGATCTGTGCTTCAGTCAACCCATCAGGGACCTGTTCTTCTGTCAAATTTGCAATTCCATTATTTGCTCTCATCATTTCAATAGGTGTTTTCCTTTTCCAACCTTCAGTATACAAACAAGATATGAAAAAATCTTAATGGCATCAGAATTGTTTCGGAAAATTAAAATTCCACGTAAAACAACTGTCTTACTTGCAGGTCTGCAGTTCCATGACTGAATTAGACGATTGATTTCAACTTGAACCACGTGGGTTGTAAATGTAGAAACGCAGAACTTTGTGCACTCATCGTCCATTCGCAATTGCGCAGCCCCCACCTTATTGTTTAGACAGCTCTTTACTGGGTAGTTAGCTCGTTGGTTGACCTCGCTCCAAAATCTTTCAACTGGAAGGTTCTTTCAGGGAATAATTTTTTAGTTATCATATTCATCCACAGTATTATATTAGATAGTTAGGTATTTTCTTGAAGATTATAAGCGATGGCATACGGACCTTTTTTGAAGTCGTTCGTCGATGTGGATCTTTAGTTGGGTCATTTCTAAGAGGGACAAGCAATTCTTGAATGCCCAACGATAGGTAAAATTCGAGGCCTTGATCTGTTCTTAGTTGATCCCAAAGACCATACTTCATTACGACAGACCTAAGGATTGGAGGTAAACAAATATTAGAATAGAATAAATAAATTGCATTAAAATTCGAACTTTCGTAAAAGACATGCGAATTGGGACGGGTTTTTAAAAGTCGTTATAGCATGGGCTACATTTGYATCAGTAATGTAGTGAGGGCCACTTGGATCCCTTAACATTGAATAGATTACCGCTGGCCGTCATTAGAATGCTAGATCGGCCATCTTGGATTGTGTATTTTGCTCATTCGTGAGTAATAGGACTCTTTTCATTGTTAAGTCTCCTGTAATGTTAATCGATTATCATTTATCACCGTTCCCTTGTAATTTACCATTATACCCCATTGTATTTAATAGGGCTTGACATCGTCATCTTCAAACAAGTATTGCTTCATAACAAGGTCACATCTAAAATGATGAAGCACTCGAAAGTAGTGATGGTTTTACTCGAAAGTTTATACTACATAAGCCATTACTGCACACTCACTGTAATAACTGTTTATATTTAATATTTATTTACATATCTTTCTATAAAATCTAGAATACTTATAAATATAAACAATTATGATTTGTTATATTCATTTCTATTAAAGTGTGTAAATATATCGAATTGAATTGAATTGAATTAAAAGAAAAAATATTTAGAATTCTGCAAACCATAGGACCATGTTGACGTTAAACCACCAGTACCTGTACAATTTCCATAGATGGCAATGTTGTTTTTCACTGGCACTGTGCAAAATCCAACTACCATCAGGGAATRTCCGTCAATAGCACACACGTGTGTCACTCCATAGTCAACCAGCTTCTCATTCTGGTCACAGTGTAGTTTGTGTCCAAAATAAAGAGCTTTATATGGAACAGGATTACGTAATCTTGCTGTGTCGTTAGCTCGAGCTCTGTGGTAATGTGGAGCAATTTCCCTCGCTGTTTCCGATAACCGTCTTTGGCTAACGCGAACGCCATTTGATTGAAAATAACCTTTTAGCATTTTCCTTCCATAGGTTGGACCCAACTAAAAATGAAGTTCAACATGCCAATTTAGAAACGAAAGAGTTGAGAAAGAAATATTACAGTCCTAGATTTACTATACCTCTGATATTGCAACCGAAACGGCTTCTTTCAGGTGCTGTTTCCCAAGTCCAGATCTGTAGTGAATCTCCTTTTGATTGCAAAAGCGTCGCACCGACCGCTCGCTTAATCCCCTCGTGTTGGGAAGCAATTCGTTAAGCACCTTACTAATTTCCTTGTATGATTTTCCCTCAACTACAAGCGTTCGTATGAATTCAGGATCAAATCTTTCCATGATACGTATGTCCCCCTACCTGGAGTCATGTACTTTCAGAAAGGAAAATTATAAAAACAGTACTCTTGCGGTCATACCGTTTTGGTAGCCCGCTTATGTATGCTACGCCTGTGATTGGATAAATGAAACAGGAACTGTATACTTGTCGCCATTTTAATGATCGGCAGTTGTCTGCATCCAACAAAGATTAACGTGGGAGAAAAACAGTATTTCATTCCTCTTCATTTAACTTTGTTTAAATTTGGGATTTTAAAATTGAGAATGATCCGAACGATAGTCTTGTTAGCGCAAAAAATGAAAAAATGAATTCCAAAACTAAAAAGTTAGCAATTTAATTTGCTAAAACCTTAAATGGCCATAAGGTGTGGGATTTTTCTCTCAGTATCTGTCAATTTTTTCAACTATTTAAACGACAACTCGAGAATTGAAAAAATGGAATTCAAAGTTTAATTTTAATTAATAACAAAATCGATAATTGGGGCCAAATTTAATAAATCCATAATTCAATCTTATCAAAAAAACGAATGGAGAAGACGAAGGTACACACATTATTTCAATCAAAAAACGCTAATTTTTTATTTTCAAAAATTAAAAAAATTATTTTTTTGGTAATTTCGTGTTCTCAAAAAAACAAAATCAAAAAAATTGGTGAACGAAATTCAATTTTCTTATTTTCAAAATTGAAATGGCCGGAAGGTACACGGACCATTAAACCCGTAGAAAAAGTGGTTGAAAAGTGAAAATCAATGTTTTTATAACAGAGAACAAATAAAGCATTGATGAACAAATGACTAACATGTTTCTTGTGTATTTGATGTCTCCTGTGTATTCATATTATATATTCATTTAATATAGATTGATTCACTTGAGTGTTATCGACTAAATATGCACTAAATTGCGACTATTAGTTAATGACTATTTTGTTTTTATTTCACAGATTATGTACCATCGCTCTATTGCATTTATGATGCTTATAACCATTTATATTAAAATGATCTTTTCTAAATATTGTAGGCTCAAAGTCCATCAAGATGACAGTAAAATCTCAATTGAGCTTCCAAAGTAAAGTTCCACATAGCAATGACATCTCAGTTAGACGATTTTACAGAACAAATCAACATCAAAAATCATCAGACACATTCCCGTACTGTGCTAAATGGATGCAAAGGTAAGTGATGTGAGCTTTTGCCATTGTAAGTTATTTCATATAGCCCTAAAGATGGCAAATATTAGCCAAAAGCTTGTCAATTAAAATAAAACTATAAATGTAGATATGAAATCATAACTCAAATGGATCCACTTGTAACAATCCTCTTTGTTAATTACTTTGTTTCTGTGAGTTATGTTGGCTCAGACCAGCTTGTGCTTCACAATAAAACTTCGCTATATTCCTTCAGAATGCATGCCGCTAAAAGTTTACCACCAGCCTCTGATCCTCGATCCAGCCGCATGGTCTGCTCTTAAACACCCAATCCGTCCCCTGAGACACCACATACATACATAAAACTCGCTTCGCTACACCTTTCCCCTTTTTTTAACTAACGACTGACCTATGAGAAGAAAGTAGTTTCCTTACCTTTTCTTTTCGTCAAGAAATATTATGACCCATGATACAAGTATTAATATTATGGTTTGGACTTACCCTTGCACCCAGAATCGTCTATTTCGTTTGGGTCTTTTCGGACGATCTTCTTCGAGATCCTCATCACTAGATTCAATGGTTTCAGATCTCATGGGTCGTTTGTTCTGTTTCGGTTTATTTGTATGTGAGCGTTTCTGCGGTTTCGTCTTCTTTTCTTGGACACGTAATCCAGAAGGACAACGAAGAAGTAAAGTTCTTTTCCGCCCTATTCCGTCCTCACTCTGAATATGATATACTGAGATATCTTCATTAGGTTTTTCTGTCACGACGAAAATGTTTTCTTCCCAAAGATTGTCAAGCTTTCCTTTAGGGGTCACGTTTTTCACGAGAACTTTGTCACCAGGTCTGGGTGTACTTGAGGGGGGTTTGCGACTGTCATATGTCCTTTTCTGGTGCCTGGCTGAAACGTTTGCCTTATCCTGAGCAAGTTTATAAGCATACCGCAAACGCTCTTTCAGATCTTCTATAAAGCCAGATCGTTTCTTGACTTGAAATCCATTAGGGTCATGGCGAAAGTAAACATCTATTGGCAACCTAGGATGGCGTCTGAACAAAAGGAAGAATGGCGACACGCCGGTGCTGGAATGCTTGCTTGCATTATACGCGTGCACAGCAGGTGCCACGTAATCATTCCAGTTAGACTTCTTCTCTTGATCCAGGGTCCCTAACGTCTGAAGAAGTGTTCGATTAAAGCGTTCACACATACCATTTCCCATAGGATGATAAGGTGTTGTTCTGGCTTTTGAAACATTTGCGAAACTACACAATTCGCGAATAACTGCTGATTCGAAGTTTCTTCCCTGATCACTACGGATTCGAGCTGGGAATCCATAGTGCACGATGAAAGAATTGAACAAAACTTTAGCTGTTGTCTTTGCCATCTGATTTAAGGTAGGCACTGCTTGGGCATACCTGCTGAAATGATCCGTGATGACTAAAACGTTTTCGTATCCTCCTTTGCTTCTTTCTAATTTGAGAAAATCCATACATACCAGCTCTAAAGGTCCTGTCGTCGTCATGGTAACCAAAGGCGCAGCACTTTGTGGCTGTGGGCTTTTACGTAGAACGCAGGCTTTGCAGGACTTAATCCAGTTCTCGACATTACTGGCCATTCCAGGCCAATAGAACCTCATCCTAGCCAAATCTAAAGCGCGTTCGGTCGAAAAGTGTCCTACTTCATCATGTATCCCAGTAAGGGCTTTTTCTTTTACCTTCATTGGTATCAGCAACTGGAGTACCTGTTCCCCCTAAAGGAACTGTTCTCCCACGTCTATAGAGTACGCCTTTGTCAACGAGTTGATCCCAAAACTTGAGTATCTTCAATACTTCTTTCTCTTCGTTTCTCGTTTCTCTTCTGGATGGCTTTCTTCCTAGCTTCCCTTCCCAGAACTCTATCACTCTGCACCATGAAACGAAGATCCTCATCACTCAAAGGAGGCATTGTAGTCTGGGGCTGATAGCATACGCCAACATCTTCTGTAGCGTCAGCATCAATGTTAGTAAGATAGCTTTCAATATATGGAACCTCACTTCTCAAGGAAAGAGACCGTGAGATGGCTCTGATGGCATCGGTGTTGATAACGCGCGAGTCATGAAATTTTTCGATCATAGCCCATTTCAAACACAAGAATTCGAGCTTATGCGCGGGATACCTTTGTTAAGACTTCCTCAAGGCTCTGCTTGCATAGGCAATAATCTTCTCATTACCACCGTCCAATTGGCTAAGAGTCGCTCCCAATTCATTTCCACTAGCATCTATATTCAAAACAAATGGCTTGCTAAAGTCTGGATAACTAAGAACAGGAGGTGATGACGACATGTTAACTATATTCTCAAATGCTTGCTGGCATTCTACCGGCCAAATCCAAAAGACTTCGCTGGCTTTACCACTCTTACTGGAGAGAGACTGCAACAACGGCGTCACAGGATCATTTAAAGGTTTAACCAACCTCGCATAGTTTGGCACAAACTTACGGTAGTAACCAGCAAATCCAATGAATGTCCTCCATTCCTTAAGGTTCTGTGGTTTCGGCCAGGTCTTGATAGCTTCGAGTGTTTCTGGATCAGTTTCTATACCTGCTGCGGAAATCACATGACCTAAATACTTTACCTTGTCACGGAAAAATGAGCACCTTGAGGATTTCAGTTTCAAACCATACTGCTCGAGCCTGGCAAATACATCTTCTAATGTTTCAAGGTGTTCTTCAAATGTTTTGGCATAAACTACTATGTCGTCAATGTAAACAACACATTTCTTGAAGTTAAGGTCTGACATGCAATGCTCCATCAATCGTTGAAACGTGGCGGGGGCATTCGTCAACCCGAATACCATCCGATTGCATTCAAAAAAACCCAATGGACCTACCGTGAAAGCGGTTTTCGGTTTATCCTCTTCTTCCACTAGAGATTTCCGATTTAGCGGATTAGCGACAGTATATTCCACGCTCATTAATCCACCCAGAATATAGCC